GTTCCTCTGGCTTCTCCTAGTGCTACTAATGGCATTTGAAAGAATCCACAAGGTTTGCGGGACTCAATAATCAACTATCTTTAAGCCAGCAACCCAAAGTGTCAGCATTTGACAACCTGGAAACAATCAATAATCAACTAAATGCCAAATGCCATTAGGAGCACTAGAACTACTGTCAGGATATAGTGAACGTTTCAGCAAATATGACAATAAATGTTTTATAAAAGTGACCTACTGGAGCTTTAACTGTAATGATAAACAATACTGACAAAGTATATATTTCTTACCGCTGAGAGAGAAATCAACACTGGAGACCCCAAATATGATGCTGTCTTTGGAATAAATGGCCACTTCTCTGTCTGCCCTTAAGTCGTACAGGCGGCACTGTAACAAAGGTCAGTGTTTGAATTTTAAAGAACATTTTCGATATGTTTCTAGTTACACTTCGAGTGGTAAATATCAGATTACATACTGTAGCATCGTCTGATCCAGATGCAAATGCATCTCCGCTGGGATAGTATCTATTAAAAAGAAAGAAAGCCACAGTGAGGAACAGATTACTCTCTTAAAGCCCCGATGTGAAACATTTGAATATATCTGACATTTAGTAATTCCCAGCGGTAATATGAAAAAGACCTGGTGCAGAGAACAAATAGTCTAAAAGCCACACAGACAGTTTTCATCAATTCTAAACTGGATTATTTATTTTTTCTTCCAACAACAACAGAATCATTTGAAAGATTAAATATTTTATACATAGAGGATTTAAAATAGTTTTTTTATATCACAATAATAAAAAAATGTGTTTATCTTTATAAACAACTCAAAGCTGACAGAGACATTTCAAATCACTTACCGGACACTGTTTATGTCTGATTCATGAGTTTCAAAGGACTGAATACACTGTCCTGAACGCATGTCCCACACATTGGCCTTCTTATCACAGCCCTGCAATAACACAGAATAATGCAGAATATCACAAAATATCTAAGATAATTTAGTTTAAATAGTCACAAGCTCTAGTGAAAGTGGTGAAGGAAGAGGTGTCCTCACCCCTGAAACAAACGTGTTTCCAGTCTCGGAGGGGGCCAGGTCCAGACAGAGCACGTCTGCTGCATGTCCATGGAAACTCTGCAACAGCTGCCCACTCTCAACATCCCATAATGCACACGTCCCATCCCCGCTGGACGTCAGGATCTTTAACACAAGCAGGCAATGAGGGAGGAAGAGTAATGGCTGTTCTGAAGTTCGGGCTATAAATGGATTGTCTTTGCTGTGTGAAACATCACGTGAGCAGGATATCAAACCAGAAGCAACTAGCTGCCGTGAATTATTAACAAAGTGCGGAAGCTCTTTTCACTGGAATATGGACGGCAGTGATTTCTGATTAATAATGAGAGAGAAATAGTGACGACTAGAAAAGCAGCCCTGTTTGCAGGAACCTTAAGTGTAGTACTAGCTCTAGCTCATTTTACTCTGCGGCTTTTGTTTTTTTTGGTTGGGGATTTTTTTGCGTGTTGTGGTGAATTTTCTTACCTGCATATCTGAGTTGGTGAAGCTACAGGCAGACAGGTAGTTTGTGTGCATGGCCACTGACTTCTTCTTTGCAGCCAAGTTCTCATTCTTGTCCAGAGACAGAGGATACACTGAGCATTTATTGTCCAGGCCTCTGTGATAGAAAATAACCCAGGTTTACTAAATAAAAAAGAGACAAAAACCAAGCAGACGACACACGCTGCATTGGGATCGTCACGGGTAGCAAAACACTCACCCACAAGCTACAGCACAGCCGGAGGGGGCGTAGGCGCAGGCCATCACCCAGGTGCACGGCATTGTCACAGCATGCTCCTAATAAACATCAAAAGGCAAAGCTGCATGAGCCGCACTGGGACACTGAGATGAATCAAATTCATTAGGCATAATTACACATTAGTGCTGTTACAGTTTGTTTAAAAAAATCTATTTATAAAACATTCTTGTGGCCAATGATCAACTCTGATAGCAGTTGCTGGTGTCCCTTCCCCTCCATCCTCGACATAAAAGTGTGCCTTATCTTTTATGCCTCATAGATTTGATTTTCTACATGATATTGGGGAAAGTAATATTCTCAATTAGAGTTTTAACAGATGTTTTTGTCTAACACTATCTTCCAGTTACTAATGATATATAAACCTCCTGTTAAGCTACACACATCATTATTTTCAGGTCTTAAGATAAATCTCCATTACACAAAATATTTTTCTCACTTCTTTGTTTGTGCTTTTATCTTGGGAAATACCAATTACTAAATACTAATTATTATGCTTTCAGAGCCAATAAAATCCTTCAAATAAAACAATCTGAGAAGGAAAATCCCTCCTTCACAAGCCAAATAGGTCGGGGACTCTCTATAGACCAAGTTCAGAGGGTTGGTTTAGTGTAAGGGAGCATTATTGATGGTTTGTAACAAGCTTGTGGTAAGAAAATGTGAAAGTGTTTTTAAGAAATCTCAGTATTTTACTTAAATGGTCTTTCATTCTGTAATAAAATAGTTGCACACTGAAAAAAAAGAGTTACCTTGTTGGTAGTGAAAGCGTCCCATACAATCACTTTTCCATCCTGCATCAAGAGATCAGACATTAGCACAACATAAAACAAACGTGTTTACTATAAACTCTCTAAAATCAGAGCAGATAAACAGAGAGTGTGTGACCTGTGAGGAGCTGACGATCCTCCTCTTGTCCTTACACCAGTCCATACACAGAACTTTGTTGCCGTGTCCCTTCAGAGTTCTCCGGGTCTTCATTACAAACTGACCCAGCCCCTCCACCTTTTCTGCCACCTGATGTACTGTACACACACACACACATTGTACATTACATTAAACCCTCTACTGCATACACCCTTGATTATTCCCATCAGCAATAATGATTAAACTACAGTCGGCCTATGTTAAACAGAGGAATATATTGTATTAATCTTTAATTATTCCCTCTTCTTGTAGCTCCTGTGAACATCTCATAAAACATTTACCACAAAAAGCCTGTTTCCCCACATTTTGTTTAACATCTCAGCAGCTACTGTTAAGGTTATTGCCGAGACACGATTGGACAAAAACCACTACATGGAAAGAATTCAGATGAAAGCACTGGGCTGTAAAATGGGGAGGCAAACAAACAGCCTGCTTTTAAGTCGCCTGTCAAATCAGAGGTAACGTCAGGTCAATAATCCGCGGCGACGAATCCGCATCCCTGTAAAACTGCCATCATCTGACCTCCCGCTAAAATACATCCACATATACATCTATATCTATATATATAGTGAGATATTTGCGGTGATTTGTCCAGTCACACTGTGAACGAAGAGGTGAATCGAGGCCTCTCCGTTATTTTCCAGCACTCACGCTCGACATCGTGCAGCTTCGCTCTCTCCTCCTCCAGCTTCGTCTTCAGCGTCTCCGACTCCGTTTTGAGATGGGCCAGAGTCTCGGTCAGCTGTACCTCCTGTGTCGCCATTTCAGGGATAAGAGGGGATCTCATAGGCCTATATTTCCTCAGTGCAGTCAGCGATCGGCAGCGAAAAGGCTTAAAGCAGAGCTAACAGCTGATGCTGCTGTCATGACGTCAGAGGGAGAAGATGCTCCTCCAGTTTCCAGAGGAGGAGGAAGAGGAGGAGGAGGAGGAGGAGGAGGGTCCTGTATCCCGGTGATGCTGCTGCTCCGCACGGGTTGCATCCTCAGCAGCAACACGGCCTCACAACTCCACAGCTAAATAATGAGTTCAAATACCGCCGACATGGAAAAAATAACACTGTGCTGTGGAAGCAGCAGATAAATATGCAGTCGGTTTATTTCAATGCAATCAATTATTAGGCAGTTGTATCACAATAAATAGCTGCTTCTGGAAACCTATAATTAAAGAAATATATAAAAACAATTATATGATCCTCTGTTTTGAGTGAATGATTTAAAATAATGAGTTTTATTGATTCCACTTTCACATCTTAACACTGCGGTAATGTGACTGCCTTTAAGTCAGCTAAATTAAAAAGCAAAGACAATTTCTTCCCGACCAGACCAAGATTTTGAAACACATTAAATTTAGGGCTTCTGTCTTTAGATAAATGATATTCAGTTTACAATAATATAAAGGCAGCACCCTGGAAAACTTGGATCTTTTGTGGATTAATTAATACATTAATTGATTGGTTACAGCTCTAATAAAATTAAACAATATTTGAAGAAATAAAACACAACAATCCAAGCAATCATCAACATTTTAATGGCCACATCCATGAATTTTAAATATCTGGTGTACATTGTTTATTAAAAGTGTTTTACATAGTTATATATACAGAAAAAGATATAGATACAGCTAAAGGCCACTTGACTGTTGAATAAGTCATGAGGAGGAGAAAGGTCAAAGGCTGGCTGGTGTCAGATCCTGGTTAGGAAACCCAGATGAAGGCTGCTCGGGACCTGCAGCAGCTCCAGAGCCTGTGTGGACGAGCAGAAAGGAAACGTGACCTGGAAACGATAATCTGAGTCCAGCATCAGCTGCGTGGACCCTTCGCGATCTTGTAGTAATGACTGCAACAAGAGGCAGATTGACAGATTTAGTGAGGTGGATGAGTAAGTATGGCAGGTGAACAAACATTTCAACACATTAAAATCTGAAAATGAACAAAAGAGCTCACCTGAACTTTGCGGACAAATGACGACGTCACCCTTTTCTCAAAATCGTCAATGGGTGTGTAGGAATTCAAAATCTTGACGATCTAAAAATTTCATTGAGAGGTTTCAATGTGAAACTGGATTTTAATATCAAAATATCAAAAATACTGCATGCGTGGCTTGAATAGTAAAATAAAAGTACCTGAACAGAGTTGAGTTCAGTGCATTTTTCAGTGATCTCCTTGGCGTCGTCGTCAGTGGACTTGTTGACTTGCAGCAGCCAGGCGGCCTGAGACAGCGGCTTCAAAGTGTCTATAGCATTAGAGCTCTGCAGCTCCTTCTCCTTCAGCCATTCCTCCAGGTAACTGATGTTGCACCTAAACAAACAAAAAGGCTATCAACTCATTTTTGTCTGCAAAAACTACTCATAAACAACAAAAGACCCAGAGGTGGGAATACTTTGTTACTATACTTAAGTTGTTTTGGGTATCTGTACTTTAGTAGAACTTAATACTATTACTCCTCCTACATTCCTACATTTGTACACAAATATTTGTACTTTCTACTCCTTATATATTCAAATCAGGCTCATAACTGTAGTTTTAATGCGTTTGAGGAGAATTGTGGCTTATTATTATTATTATTTAGCAACACATCAGGACCGGTGCATATCACACATGACAGACATAACTTGACAAAAACACTGAAAACTACGTAAAAGACAACGTAACAAGAAAAGAAAAGGAGAGTCGACCCGGTTTGAAGTTTGAGCTTTGCACAGAAACAGCCGGTAGAAATGTCCTTCAGAAAAACCAAGAAAGTACATTTATATTTTGAGTACATTTCAGAGCCTCTACTTTTTCACTTTTACTTGAGTAAAGAAGTTAAATCAGTACTTCTACTTTACTTTCTCCACCTCTGCACAGACCTGATTTGCATCCCTTTCCTGCAGGAACACATGTCTTTGCGGAGCATGATGTTGTTGAGGGTGGTCGCACCGACGAGGAAGAACAGTTGCTTGACAGCCTGTTTGATGAGGCCCTGCTCCATGCCGTGCTGGCTCATGGTGGAGTGGAAGCCGTTGAGCTGCTGAATGATGGAGGAGATGGTGTATGTCTCTGAGTCCTCGTAGATGCTGTTGGAGCGCTTCCTGAAGCCCGTCGGCTTCATACTAGAAATCCCCTGCAAACTCTCGTGCTCCAACATACCCGGAACTGTCGAACAAGAAAGTAAAGCAGGACATTTAAGGTTGTTTATAAAGGTTGAACAGTATCAAAATCTGCATTTGATAAGGATGAACTCTGTAAAATACCAATAGCAGGAGTGAGGCTCTTTTCCATGACCGTGATGAACTGATGGTAGATGTGGATGGCCAGGTCGCTGAGAATTTGTCTGTGTTCTGACAAATCAAAATTGTGCAAGCAGTTCTTCTTCTGGCGAGCAGTATTTTGTTTCATGAACTCCTTTTGTGAAGAGAAAGCAAAAAGAGAGAGAGAATGTCAAAATAGGCCTGACACTGTATATGACATTATAGACCCCATACAGTAAATACAGACCTCCTCCCCGCTGTACTGCTTCAGACAGTTGAGGAGCTGATACGTGTTTGAGAGCCAGAACGACAGCAACTCAAAGTCTTTGTGGTGACCCTGAAAGGAAAAAATATGTCAGTTGCATTTGCTTTCATTTATTTTCAGCAAGAGATTGATATTTTTTGCCTTTTGATGGCTGTTTATCTTTTTCAGATCATCAATGTCACAAACCGAAATAATTAAAGTAAACTACACTGCTGCCAAAACACTAGCGACCTAATCTTAGATATGGTTATGAATAATGGCTTTTGGAGTATATCTATTATTTATTTAGCAAATCTACAGCAGAGATAAAGGTTAATAGACTGAGAATTAACCTCACCATGATGACTTTTTTGATAGCGCCAATGGTCGCATTCATCAGAGACTTGAGCTTGGCTTCATCGTTCAGATAGTCAGCGTGGCGGACGCACATGAAGAGGATGTATGCTGGCAGACCGGGGATCATATTGACCACCACACCTTTGGTCTTCAGCTCTGTGAGAAGAATGTAGCATCATTTAGTTAACTAGTTCACAGGTTTAATGTGACATATCAGCTAAAGCTTAGAAATAACGCAGAGGACAAATACCCAGAATGATGTTTTGAATGAGCTTGGGTTCATCCTCTCTCTTGTACTCCAACATGCCGAGGTAGTCTTTGGGAATGGTAGGCGTAGACGTTTGCTTTGCTGTGTAAGAAACATTAAAGTGATGATCATGGAGAAATTAGATTTACTACGAGTCAGATGTACAAGTCACAGCTCTACCTTTCTGTGACGTCTCCAGGCTCTTTATTTGAATCTGGAGTTTCTTTATTAATCTGTCTCTTTGGTCCAGCTGCTCTTCAAAGTCCTGAAAGAAAAGAAGATTGAAGATAGATAGAAGATAGAATTTCTTTCATGCAGATAAGACATGCATTCACACACTCATACTCTAACCCTTCATTTATACACACACACACACACACCATATTCTCAGCGGTTAACAGTGAAGTCTCCTGTCTCAGTTTGCTCTTGGACTCGCTCTCCATCAGCAGCTGTCTTTTCAAGTGATTGTTCTCCTCTTCCAGATCCTCTACTTGGGAATGAAGCTCCCTCTTCAACTCCTCCAGCTCTTCAGCTTTCTCCTCAAAGTGTCTAAAAAAGCAGCAGAAATCAGGACGACTGAGATATGATCAACACTTCTTAAATCAAGAAACTCACTCCAGTTTTTACCTGCGTTGTGAGCTCTCTTCTTTAATCTTCCTTTGAAGAACATTAGTGATCTCCTCAGATTTTTCTTTCAGATGACATGGACAAGAAAATAAACAGAAGAAGTAAAATACTGATCTGCAAAAAAAGGGCTTCATGGTGACATAATTGGAAAAACAAATAGTCACATTTACCTTCTAGTTCTCTGCTCTTCTCCTCTACACGAGCCTCTAATTCTTGTTTTTGTCTCTGCAGCTCTGAAACCTGCTGTTTCAGCTCCGGTATAAACTGTGCATCACATCAAACAAGGGAAAGCAAAAATGACGATATGTTCTGCAACTCAACAATCGTGAGACATTAAATATGGGATAAGGAATCCAACGCACTGAGTTCTCACTGCTGAGCCTGGACACCTCTTGGCGAATATTCTCGTTGACGTTACTTTTCTCCTGGAACAGGTTTTGCAACTTGCTGTTCTCATTTTGAAGGTGGTCCACTTTCAATTTCAAGCCCTCCACTTGGCTCTCATAGCTTTCCTTCTGCTCCCTCTGGTGGTTTTCCATTATTCTGCCATCAAAGGTGCAAACAGAGGTTTGTCACACAGGTACAATAAATGAAATGAACGGACTGCTTTGGTTGTCAGTAAAAACAAAACCTGGTAGCTTTCTGCAGGCCATCAAATGCTTTCAGCAAATCTTCCATTTCATAGATCTTCTCAGAGTTGTCTGGAGCTAGCCTTCAGAGAAACAATGTGTGAGATTAAATGCCTAAAGAGATGAGAGACAGAACAACTACAGGAGAAAAAGTGAAAAGGTAAAATATTTGGATTACCCCAAAAGAACCTCCTCTTCAACAACACCACCAAGAAGTTGTCTTGTAATATCATTTATTTTGGCTGCGGAAAAATATCATCAGCGAAATACTGTCTTTGTTTATGTTTAATCATTTTTTTAAACTAAAGTAAAAGTCTGTACCTCTTGCTTGTTCTGACTGTTGCTTAATCTTTCGGTCCATGTTATTTCTCTGATTTTGTAGGTTGTTGAGATCTCTGCGTAGCTCGGGAATGGACTTAACGTGTTTGGTGAGCTGGATGATCTGTTCCTGCAGGTCAGAGTTCACCTGGCACCCCTCCTCTATCTTTCTCTGCAGACTGACTCTCTCTTCCTTCAATCTCTTTATCTCCTCTTTCAGAATTTCCACC